CGTGCTGATCGACACGGCCGTCCTTAAGACGCTCCCCGAAGAAGAGTTCTGCGCGGGCCTCGCCGAGGTGGTGAAGTACGGCGTGATCCTCGACGCCGAGTTCTTCGCGTACCTCGAAGCCAATGCCGACGCGATCATGGATCGCGACCCGGCCGCCCTGCGCACGATCATCCAGCGGAGCTGCCGCCTCAAGGCCGACGTGGTCGAGGCCGACGAGCGCGAAGAGACCGGCCTGCGGGCCAAGCTCAACTACGGCCACACGTTCGGCCACGCCCTCGAAGCGGCGACAGGCTACAGCGAACTTCTGCACGGCGAAGCCGTGGCGATCGGCATGGCATGCGCCTCGCGGCTCGCGCAGAGCATGGGCCGGATCGACGCCGAGGCGACCGATCGCCAAGTGAAACTCTTGGAGCGATTCGAGTTGCCGACGGCGATCCCCGAAGGCATCGATCTCGGTGAACTTTCCGCCCTGATGTGGCGTGACAAAAAGGTAAAGGACGGCGAAGTCCGTTTCGTGTTGCCGACGCGCATCGGCGAGGTTGAAACCGTCGCCAGCCCCGGCGACGACTTGGTGCTGGCGTCGATGCGAACCTCCTAAAGTTCGTTCGCCGGACCGTCGAGGGCGTCCGGGAGACTCGCCTGTTCGCTGCCGGCGAATCCATCGAAATCGGCACTGCGGCCTTAAAAACCGCACATTCAAGGCCTTGATGTCTTCTTAAGCCTGCCGTGCTATCGGCTTGTGGCAATCCGCAGAGAATGCCGCGTGCGGGTGGTCGTTTTGAGACGTTTCACCCTACAGACATTGTTCAATACCTGCGGTTTTAGGCAGGGTTGGCCGGATTCCCCAGCATTTCACTCGCGAAGTTTGGAGCCAGAGTTCATTCTTCGTGACCTTTCGCATTTTGCGGGTTTCCCGAAGTGAATGTCACAACCGAAAGGCTCTCTCCGGAGCTGAACGAGCTGTTAATTGCAACCACAAAGTATGGCCCCAACGTCCCCAGCCGGCTTCGACGAGGACGCGGACAATTCGCACTCCGAGCGCGTCACGAAGCCCCTCCTCGATGTCATCAGTTGTAGCGGCGCCGACACGACGCTTGTCGTGACCGCGGCGCGTTTAATCCAAGCGGATGTCCGGACGTTCGGTTCGCCCGAGTTGTGGCTTGATCAGCTGTCGCGCCGTGAGAGCGACGCCTCGCTCGAGCCCGCCGACGTGGTGATGTTTGTCGGCTCGGCGGAGCGGCTGCTGTCGCAACGGTGCCTCCGACGCGGGTTGGTTGCGGCGCCCGACTCGATCATCATGGCGGCGATCACCGACGCGTCGTTCGATCTGACCATGTCGATCGTCAACCACGGCGCCCGCGGTCTGTTGGTCCTTCCCGGACCGACCGAACGGTTGTCGCAGCACCTCAAGGAGATCGTTGATCCGGCGATCCGCTGCCGCGACCATCGCCGCGCCGTCGTCCGTCACCGCCGCGCCGCCGCGACGCTGACCGCCGCCGAGAATGACGTGCTCGAAGCGATGCTCACCGGCATGCCCAACAAACAGATCGCGCTACGGTTGTCGATCGGCCTACGGACGGTCGAGCTGCGGCGCTCGAAGATTATGAAAAAGATGAAAGCCAAAAGCCTCGCCCAACTCATCAGCTTCATCTGCCTAGCGCAGCAACAAGACGGCTGCTAATAGGTTCCGCTGTGCGGACCGTGGTTGACGGTAGGCAGGGCGTTTAACTCCGCTTCCCGACGGGCGCGGCTCAAACGGGTTGATTTTCTTGAGCCACGTCCGTCAGAAAGCGGAGTGACAATCAGGGCAAATTCAACTCCACGGTCCGCGCAGCGGACCCTACAACTGGCATCCGCTTCGCCGGGTGTTTACTGTCGAGCGGTCTTTCACCGCTGACCGAACACCCCGCCATGCCGCGCCCGACGATCGACGAAGTCCTTGCCGAGGTGCGGCTGACGTGTGTCCGGGGCGTGGGGCCGATGCTTCGCAGCCGGCTCATCGAAGCGCTCGGCTCGGCGGACGGCGTGCTCGCCGCGCCGTCGTCCGACCTCCAAGCGGTGCGCGGCGTGGGGGCCAAGCTCGCCGAGGCGATCCTCAAAGCGCCGTCGGTCGATGACGCCGCGCGGATGCTCGATGAGGCCGCCGCACACGGCATCCGTGTCCTCACGCTCGGCGACGAAGAGTACCCGCCCGGGCTGCGCGAGATCCCCGACCCGCCGCCGGTGCTCTACTGCCGCGGTTCGATCGAACCGCGGGATCAGCGCGCCGTGGCGATCGTCGGCACACGGCTGGCGACACGCTACGGGCTGCGCCAGACGGAGCGGTTCGCACGCGACCTCGCCGCGGCGGGCGTGACGGTCGTGAGCGGTCTGGCACGCGGCGTCGATGGCGTCGCCCACCGCGCGGCGCTCGACGCGGGTGGTCGGACGATCGCGGCGCTCGCCGGCGGGCTGATGAAGATCTACCCGCCCGAGCACGGCCGGCTCGCCGACGCGGTGGCGGGCTGCGGCGCGCTGGTGGCCGAAGCCGCGCCGCCGATGCCGCCGCTGAGTGGATCGTTCCCGCAACGCAACCGGATCATCAGCGGCTTGTCGCTGGGCGTGCTGGTGATCGAAGCGGCCGAGCGCTCCGGGGCCCTGATCACCGCGCGCCACGCCGCCGAGCAAGGGCGCGACGCCTTCGCGCTGCCGGGGCAAGTCGATAGCCCGCAATCGATGGGTTGCCACCGTTTGATTCAAGAAGGCGCAAAGCTCGTCACTGCGGTCGAGGACGTGCTCGAAGAGCTCGAAGCGATGGCGCAGCTATCGATGCCGCCAGCGGCGCCATCACCATCCCGCGTCGCGAGCGCGCCGCCGAAGCAGAAGCCGCTTCCCGCCATCGAATGGGACGAGCCTACCAAGACGCTGCTCGACAGAGTGGGCCGCGACGCGACGACGATCGATCAGCTTATCGATGAGACGGGGCTACCAATCGATCAGGTGCTAGCAGGGCTGTCGCGACTGGAAGCGGGCGGAGCGATCCGAAGGTTGAGTGGCTTCGCGGTGCAGTTGAAGTAAGAAGCGTTGAACTAGAGAGCGTCTGAGCCGTGGGCGCGAGCCCTCGGTGGNNGAGGGCTCGCGCCCACGGCTCAGACGGTTCGGTGATGTTGGGGTGGAATGCTTGGCAAGCTTTGCCGCGCAGGTAGCCTCTCCCCATTGCGGCCACCTCGCCGCCTGTAGCGGTGCGGGCGGTCGGTCCTCTCGCGCGGCGCCTTCGACTGGTGGGATTCGCACGATCCTGCGTGTGCGGACGCCCGATCATTCCAGCGGAACGGAAGGTTCCGGGCGATGGACTCGCTCGCGATCGGCGGAGCCGACGCATCGAACCCCCTCGGCGGCTGGTCGCTAGTGGCCCGCGCAGCCGAGCTCCCGGCGGACGGAGCGACAGGAGTGTCACGGATGAAACGACTCGTTAAAGCGACGTGCGGCTTCACTGCTGGGTTGGCGCTTGCCGCTGGCTCGGCGACGCCCGCCATGGCGCAGTTTGTGTCCGTCAACAACTATCAGCCGCCCGTAGCGCAACAGGCACAGGCGCCTCTGCAGGCGCAGGTCTACCCGCAGCACCAATTCCAGTACCAGTACCAGCCGCAGCAGGCGGCGGCGCCGGGTTACTCGCAGGCCTACGCCCCGCAGGCCTACGCCCCGCAGGTCGCGAGTTCACAGGTGTATGCGCCGCCGACCCACGGGTATCCCCGCGTCGCCCAGCAGCCTACCGAGCTGCCCGCGCCCGCCGAGACAGTGACGCCCCCGGCGCAGCCGACGCCGGCAGCCGCTGAAGCGTCCGCGCCGACAATGTACAACGAGGGCTACGCCCAACCCACGCAAGGCTACTTGCCGCATGACGGATCGATTCCGACGGCGTCTTACCCAACGTCTTCTTACGCCGCGCCGGCCGCGGGCGATGTCGCAACGGGCGACTGCGCCACGGGCAACTGCGGCGTCGGCTACACGGATGGCTACAACTACGGCGCTCAATCGTGCGACGTTGGCGCCCCGGCTTGTGACGTCGGCGGTTGTGCGTATCCCTCGGCGCCGCGTCGCCAGTGGTTCGCGGGCATCTATGGCCTGTACCTCGACCGTGCGGGTGACAGCTCGAAGCGGGCCGTCGCCTATCTTGAGGACGACCAGAACGCTTACATGCCTGGCACGGACTATTACCCGATGCCCGGCATGCCGACGCTGTTCACGGCCGACGCAGGCGACTCGGGCATGTGGGGCGCCGAAGTTCGCTTCGGCAGCACGTTCGGTTGCGACCCGTGTAACTGCATGCAGCCCTACGCTTGGGAAGTCGGTTACTGGGGGATCGATAACGACGCCAGCGACGCTTACCTCACCATCCCCGGCGTCGTAGCGAACGGGTACGCCCAACGTCTCTACACGATGCTCCCGTACGACGACCTCAACGTCGATCGCGACGGTGCGGGCATGAACTACACGAACCGCCAGATTTATGAAGACGAAGGGGCGCCGGCCGACGGAGATATTTACTCTCACGATACGCGGGTCCTCGGCATCCGGGTGCGTCAGCGGTTCACCGCTCAGAACCTGGAGCTGAACTTCTGGCGGTTCGGCACGCCCACCGCGGTCGGCGGCTGTGGCATGGGCGCCTGTGCCCCGTCGGCTTGCGACACGGGCTGCGACCCGTGCGGCATGAGCGGGTACGCCGGCTACGGCGGATGTGCCCCGTGCCGCCCGCCGCGTCGGTTCTTCATCAACGGCGTCTGCGGCGTTCGCTACATGCGGATCGACGACGACTTCGGCCTCGACTGGCAGTTCACTACCGTCGACGGCACCGGTATGCCCAACACGATGCCGATGCCCGAGCCGGATCGCTACATGCCGATGCTTGAGAGCGACAACAACATGTTGTTCTCGACCTACCAAGCCGATAACGAACTGGTCGGCTTCCAGCTCGGCGGCAGCATGAACTGGCTGTGCGGGTGCCGCTGGAACTTCTTCGCCGACACCAACTTCGGCATCTACGGCAACAACGCGTCGGTTTACAAGCGGGTCTACGGCGGCGGCGGGTCGATGGTGACCTTCGCCGAAGACGGCATGCTCGCCGAAGTGAACGGCAGCGAGACCTCGCTGGCCTACGTCGGCGAACTGCGTGCCGGCGTCGGTTACCAAGTGACCTGCAACTGCCGCGTGACGGCCGCGTACCGGTTCATCGGCATCGGCGGAGTGGCCCTGGGCGTCGAGGAGTTCCAGAACACCAACTGGGCCAACTCGGAGTACGCCAGCCACATCGACACGAACAACTCGCTCATCCTTCACGGCCTACAGACCGGCGTGGAGTACAAGTTCTGAACCTGACCAAGTTTCGAGCCTGCTGAGCCGCCTAAGTCGAGTTAGGCAAAGGGTTCGCAGGCTCCGCTGATCGCCGCCCCCGTGCCCACGGGGCGGACTTTCAGCCAACCGTCCCCCCTTTGTAGGCGAGGCCCGCTGATGCGAAAGCATCAGCGGGCCTCGCCGCTTTTTTGGGCTTTGTAGGAGGCGTCTCCAGACG